TTAATTATGAAGGTTTGACAATTAAGTTCACAAACTCATCCCAGAAAAAGCACTACATAACCCATTGCTGAATATCATTACAGTTGCTTTTGAAGTACTCCCCTTGGGAAGCTGTTCACTGACACAAGCACTTAGCCCACCCTTCAAAGCAATTTTGGAACTCTTTTTCTGGAATAGCCCTCAGACCTTTCATCATATTACTCTTGATGTCCTGAAAGTCGTCAAAATATCTTCCTTTCAATATTTCCTTTATCTTCGAGTAAAAGAAAAAAGTCATTAGGGGCCAGATCAAGTGAGTAGGGAGGGTGTTCCAATTTGGTCATTTGTTTAGTAGGTAAAAACTCTGTCATGGATAGTGCTTTGTGAGCTGGTTCAAAGTCGTGATGCAAGAGCCATGAGTTATTGGTGAAAAGTTCATGTTGTTTTTTGTAACTTTTTAATGCAGCCTTTTCAGTACTTCTAAATAGTAAATTTGGTTAACTGTCCAGTTGGTACAAATTCATAATAAACAATCCCTCTGATATCAACAAGGTTGGCAACATCATTTTGACTCCTGATTTAGATAGAAGGAACTTTTTTGGTCATGGAGAATTGGCTGACTTTCATTGTGCACTTTGGTATTTTGTTTCAGGTTGTACTGGTGCACCCACATTTCATCACCAGAGATTACAAGGCCCAAACATCGTCTTGCCCCTCCAAAAGGGCTTAGAAAATTTTGACTCTTTTTTGCTTAGTTTCATCAATGAGCTCGTTCAGGGCCATTTTTTGCACACCCTTTCTCATACCAAGATTTTCAGTTAAGATTTTTCTGTTTCTCTATCAGTGTTTACTTGGTCTGCTAGGCTACTCACAGTCAACCAATGATTATGATGCACAATTCAATGGAATTTTGGTATGTTTTCATCAGTTTTGCTCATTAATGGCTTTCCTGACCACTCTTCATCAGTATACTTTCTCTCCCCTCAGACAAACGTTTAACCTATTTGTACCCTGCCATTTTTTCATGGCATTGTCGCAATCAGTTTTGACTAACATCCCTGATTTCATTTGCCACATTTAACAAGAAATGTAATGCTTGTTCATTGCTGTAATTCAGGCTCCCAATGGAACACCAAAAGCACATAACAATAATAATGAACTCCACTCAGCAAGACACCTCCACATGTCGACACAAACACACCTGTGAGACACTGATGTACCAAGCTTTTATTACTGATTGAATCTCACTACTTGTTATTGGTCTGTTCAGGATTTCTGTTTCTCCCTGATTCAAACTTGGGAGGTCATGTGTTTTCAAAGATTTTTTTAATTTTCTCTAGATGTTCTACTTTGCGGGATACTGTGGTGTCCATCATAGCCTTGAATGATCTTTTGTATTTCTCTGATATTCGTTGAAATGTCTTCTTTTTCATTTCTGATTTGTTTACTGGTGCTTTTTAAAGAACCAACTTTTTGTTTTGTTGATCTTTTGATTTTTGTTGTCATTTCATTTTTGTGTAAGTCTGATCTTTATTTCTTCTCTTCTGTTGCTTTGGATTTGGTTTATTATTGTTTTTCTTATTCCATGAGGTATAACATTAGGTTTTGAATTTGCAATATTTCTGTGATACAGGCATTTAGTGCTATGAGCTTAACTCTCAGCTGCTTTTTCTGTATCACAGAGATTTGGGTAGTCTGTGTAGCCATTGTCATTCAACTCAATTTTTTTTTAAATTTCCATCTTAATTTCTTCATTGACCAAAAGATTGTTCAGCAGCAGTTGTTTAATTCCCATATTTTTGAGTAGTTTTGAGAGTTTCTCTTAGAATTGATTGCTAGTTTCATTCCACTATAGTCTGAAAAGGCATATCATATGATTTCCATTTTCTTAATTTCCTGAGACTTGTTTTATGGCCTAACATATGTTCTAACTTGAAAAATGTTCCATGTGCTGCTGAGAAGACTGTATATTCTGCTGTTTTTGTGTAGAATGTTTTGTAAATGTGTTAAGTCCATTTGTTCTAGAGTCCTATTTAAGTCAAGTGCTTCTGTTGATTTTCTGCTTCATTGATCTGTCTAGTTCTGTCAGGGAGTGTTGAAATCCCCTACTATCATTATGTTACTGTTTATTTTGTTTCTTAAATATAGTAGTATTTGTTTTCTAAATCCAGAAGCTTGAGTTCTAGGTTTGTATGTAATTGATATTGTTATATCCTTTTGTTGAATTGATCCTTTTATCATTACATAATGACCATCTTTGTCCTTTTTTTACTGTTACTTATTTAAAGTCTGTTTTATCTGATATGAGATTAGCTAATCCTACTCATTCTTGCTTTCCAATTGCAGGGACTATTTTTTTCTCCTATAACCTCAAGTCTGTGTGACTCTTTATGAGTTAAATTGGTTTCTTTGAAATAGCAGATATTTGGGTTGGGTTTTTTTTTCACATTCCATCAATCTTTATCTTTTAAGTAGAGCATTTAGAACATTCTTTTTAGTTTTTAGAGAATTTCTGAACATATCTTGCAGGACAGGTCTAGTGGCAACAAATTCCCTTAGTGTTTGCTTGTCTGGGAAAAATTTATTTCTCCTTCATCTATGAAACTTAGTTTTTACAAGGTACAAAATTCTTATTTGACAGTTATTCTGCTTAAAAGACTAAAGATGGGACCTCAGTTCCTTCTGGCTTATATATTTCTGTTGAGAATTCTGCTGTTACTCTGTTGGGTTTTCCTTTGAAAGTCACTTGATATTTTCATATCACAGCTTGTAGGATTTTCTCCTTCTTTTTGACTTTAGCCAGACTGATGACTATGTTTCTTGTTGATGGCCCATTTGGAATGAATCTTCCAGGAGTTTGTTGGCCTTCTTGTACCCAGAAATCTAAATCTGTAGCAATATCAGGAGGATTTTCCTGCATTATTCTTTTGAAAAGATTTGAGTAATAATCCTCATACATCAGAACAACTTGTATTATACTTTTGATTTATATACTCAATCCTGATCTCATAGGCCAAAGAAAACCAGGAAATAATGTGACCTTTCTTCCATTAAAAAGTATCACAGAGGTGTAAGTTTCCTCTAAATTACTGATATTTATGGAGTTTGACTGTGTTAATAGGGTCCTGAAAGGAAGTGAAAGCCATGTCTTGATTTAGAAGCTTAGGACCCTGATCCAAAGTTGGGTGTAATTCATAAATAAATAAAATTAGAATAAAATTAGTCTCTCTTACCCAGAAAGAACTGGAGCCCTGGCCCCAACCCTTTCTCAGTTCCATTCAAGGTTGCCAATCAACAATGCTGCTCAGCATTAAAACCAAGAAAATGTTATAGCTTCTGATAAAATAATAATCAGCCAACTGTACACTAGATATTTATATAGCAGAGAAGAAAATTATCCTGAGCTTCTTAAATGTAAAGAAAAACAAAATTTAAAATGGGTTCATCCAGAGACCGGAACCACTGTCATAATATTTTTATTCATTCAGAATTTTCCAAATAAACTACATGCTGTTAATGATTTGCTTGAACAGAGGGTCAGTAATTCCTGCTTGTGAGTGTGACATCCCACATCTTCCCCTTTCAGCTTGTCATGTCAGACTCATGATTTTGTAAATAGCAGAACAAATGGAGCTAACTCCTGCTGGAAAAATCAAAGCTTTGAAAGGCCACTGCAAAAGTGGAAAGAACTTTCTCTCAGATGTCAGAGTTCTTGTATGCTAGACTTGTCTCTGCTGTAATTAAATTCCAAAGGAAGCTGTTCCCTCTCTGGGGACATTTACTTCCTCTGTCAAGGTACAGGGTTAGGTCTTGACCTGTCTCCATCATGCCTCAAGGAGAACCAGAAGGATAAAACAGCATGCCTTGCTTTAGTTCACAAAATGGATCCCTTTATCTGAAAAGTTATACATGTTCAAGAAAAATCTTTTAAAACACTTCAGTAATGTTAGGGAATCATTATGGTTTGGGAACATTCATCTAGTTAATTGCTTAGTAATATTTAACTCAAGGATTTAAAATTTCATACTCACTGAAGATTTAATAATTACAATAAATGTTTAATGAGAGGTAATAACTATAAAAGTGAACAGTTAGATACTTAGTAAACCTTAATAATACAAAAATAATTGAATGACATATCTTCTCAATAGAAATTTCTGAATTAAATATTATAAAATAACCTCATAATTATTAAGTATACATTTACAAAATGTTTTCCAATAGAAGACTTACCAGATTTTGGCTTAAATGTGTAAAAAATAAAGGTATTAATGTGTGGTATATTTTGTGCAAATATAAAAATTACTTTCATAATGTCTAAAGCAATATTCCAAATGTCTAGTTTCTCTGTAGCATTATTTTACTGATCACTTACTTATTCTAAAAATTTTTAATCTCATATCTACATTTTAAAATACTAGTTAACCTGGCACACAACACCATATGCTTGAAGTGAAAAAAAATCCCCAAGTCAAGTCCTTATCATGCCACTTAAAAGTTGTCAGACTCCAAACATGTTACTGAAGACACTCAGGCCTCAGTTTCCTTCTTGTTAAGCTGATTAATTTATACTCTTAAATCATTATTATCACAATTTAGGACTTTTTATTAATTTTGAACTGGTGGGGTCTCAATATACCTGTTAATGAATGTAGTAAATTAAAAACTATTTTAATACCCATCATTTTATGCGACTGTGAGAAACTTATATAACATATGGAAGACAGCCTTCAAATCAAATTTTCCAAAAAGCATATAGTCAAAGATAGTTGTCACCATCTTTCCACAGTTAGAGGTGGTTTCCAGAGGGCGGCAGAGCATTGAAGAGAAATCCCCAGCCGCTCAGTTACTATCATATTACTATTGGTCTTTCTGGGGATAGATGTATTTGATTAAAGACCACTAGCTTCTCAAGAAAGAATCTATGAATTAATTTAGCAGTCATTTGCTGAATGCTCACATCAAAGGTGCTAGAAAAAAATGTCATCCATGTCTGATTTTCTGATGATTTTCTTCCCTAGGACCTACTGATCTCAGCATGAAGAGGCAGTTGGCGACTAGCTCAGGATCCTCCAGCAGTTCAAACTCCAGACCCCAACTGAGTCCAACTGAAATCAATGCTGTGAGACAGCTTGTTGCAGGATACCGGGAATCAGCTGCATTTTTATTGCGTTCTGCAGATGAACTGGAAAATCTCATTTTACAACAGAACTGAGTCAAATGATGACCGTACTCACTGAGGTCTAAATTTGCAGTTTCCACTAATGACATTTTGGTTTCCCAGCAGAGATACTTCTGGTCTTATTGCACAGTCTTTTAAGAGAAATACTTCCATTCTGCCACCTTGTCCTTGATCCGTAAAGTGATGTGTTAAGCCGCTTCAAGGGAACTCTGCCCTCTGAAGTACCTGAGATACTCTAATGTGTCCAGCCTCTTGCTTTTTTGTCTTACTGTGCCAGCATAAATATCAGGGGCAAAATAAAGGCTGTATATTCTTAATTCAAGAATAAAACAGAAGAATCTTGTGGTATGAAAAAATAGTTCAAGATCCAACTAATATATTAGTGGAATTTGCTACTGACTCATTGGACTGAAAGCTGAAGTATCTGGCAAAAAAAAAAAAAAAAAGCCAAATTTCTTGTTGCTACAGGATATTAACAACACTGAAAAGGATCTTGTATTTTAAAAAAAATGTAATTTTTATAAAAAGAAAACTCGTTTTTCATTCAAAATTGTCATTTTTACTTTGGTAACTTTTTCATAGGTCCTAAAAGAAAACTGTTTTGAAAATCTACTGTAAGTACCTTTTCCACATCCCTTTGCCTTCTCTTCTTTCCAAATTCTTTCTACAAAAATAACACTTGATGCTGGAAAAACCCTTGCCTACGTTCTTTAAATCGTCATATCAGGAACTCCTTCCAAGAGAAGCCTGCATTTCTGCACTCACGCTGATCTCAAAAAAATCCATTCACTATTGCAGCTTTACCATAGCAGTTCTCATCACAGAATTTTTTAATATCTAAGAAAGACATATCATTGGGGGAAAAAAAATCACACTTTGATTTCTTAGAGCTGCTCTCTCCTGAATGCCACTGCTGTCTACGGGCACCCCTCTAGCAGCAACGGGATATACAGGACTGAATGTTAAGAGGTTGCAAGTGACAATCTGAAAATTTGCACTCTTGTGTGTAGTTATCTTTTCATTTCTGTCTTTCAGAAATAGTTTCAGAAAAGACCATTGCATCTCCTGATATGATTTGTATAATGTTCAGTTCTACCTAAAAATAATGTCAAGAACTCTCAGCAGATGCAGTTGCAACTTACAATGAACTGTTCCCTCCCATTCCTCATCCTTTGCCCTTTGTTCTTATTTTATAGTGTTGGATACACATGAGTGGTGTTTTCTTTGTGCACCGAGGCAAGTCTATTTTTAAAATATTTAGGGAGAAGTACTTTAGTTCATACGCCTTGTACGATTTTTTTCTTCTGTTATTTAGCTTTTACCAATCCTTTGTGCATTCCTGAATTTGCCTTATCTTATGTAAAATTTATGTCTTCAGTTTTTGACAATGAGTTTAAGGCATCAGTGATATTTCTTATGTACTTGTTACATATAGTTTTTCAAGTAATGACTGTGATTGTGACCAAGTAATGTGCACTTTTTCTTGTAACTGTGGACATTGCTATGCTTTTTTCTTCTAGTGTTTCTAGAATTACTGTTCCTTACAGTTATGTAAACAAAAAACAAACAAAAAAAAGAACTTTTGTGATACTGTTGGTGAATATAATGTGAAAATCTTATTGAAATATGAGTATTTTGGAAATACATAGATGCACAAACATCTTTAATGGTGTTGATTTAGAGTTTGCTTATTTAAATGAAAATTCAAAAATTGAGGGCCGGTATAATTTTCTCTGCTTTGTTTGGTTTAATAAACAGAATTCTGTGTTAAGACAATGATTGTGAAAACCTTATAAACTTTCTCAATGATATAATGCTTAATTTTTGGCAATTTGCATTTAAAATCTGAAATGCTATTTTGTAACCACATATCTAGCACAATTGACATTCCAGAGTTCTTTCTCAAAAATATCATAAGGTCCTCCAGTGTCTCAACATTCAATGTAATGAAGAATTTATTCCAAGAAAGGGGTAAAAAAGCAAGGCAAAGATACTTTACCTGATTATTTAAACATCATTTAAGAATGTTTTTCTTATTTTTTTATTTCTTGTTTTTCTAGGAGTAACTTGGCTTTTTTAATCCTTCCTTATTTAATATCCTGAGAGAAACACATGCCTGTTTTGAGTGTCTGATTTATACTTTGAGGTTTGGGGGGCATGTTTTGTAACAGTATTAGAAACTTTGGTATAGTTTCTAATTCACAAATTGGCATTCAGGCTTGGACTTAGCATGCAAGTCAGAAATCCTTAATGAGGATTCTGAAGAACATGGAGCAGAGAAGGTAAGTTCCAGCAAGGTGTTCTTGTTTTTCTTCCATGTTCATCTTCAGTTACAACCCCACACCCATTCACCAAGGACTAAATACCCAACCTCTTGCGCTCTTGCCACATTTATTCAAATGAAAACGACTCACGTAATTTCCCTGGGAGAGCACACAGACCAAAATAAAGTATTATTTTCTTTCCCTTTTCCTTCATGAAGCATACCTGAAAAACACCCGAGTTCTTTTTTTCTACTCTGTCACAGCAGCATAAAGACATCACTTCTCTTTAAAAAGCATTTTGGGGAAAGTGAGTGGATGTCCATATTCTCATTCAAATGAGGAGATAGAAAACTGTCATGTAAACAAGGAGATCAAATAGAAGTTTCTGTCACTTCTGGCAGTTACATCGTCATGCAAGAACAGCTTCTCGTCACATATATATTACTTTATCACACTTAGGAAAGCATGCCTTGGAGTAACCACAGCACACATAAGCAAGAGCAGTCACTGAATCTTCTTAAATTGTGGAGTTCTAATAACAATACTCAGTAACAGGGCGTTCAGAAATAGTGGTAGCCACCGTTTACTGATTGCTTACACGAGGAAATGAATTTTGCTCCCTCTGCTTCTCACAATAAACTTAGGAGATTTGGCATTCGCTCTTTCCATTTTACAAAGCAGCCTCAAAAAGGGGAAAAATAACTAACCAGGAACACAGAGATGGTGAGAGCTGAAGCCATTGTTTGAACCCAGGCACACCTAATGCTGGAGCCCACCCTATTTATGCTGCTCTCTCCTGCTTGGCAGTTACTAAATAATTACATTCTGCACCGTCTTGGAACCAGGATTTTATACTACATTGAAACAGTTTTGTGTAGATAAATCATAGTAATTTATTAAAAACACACTGATATTATCATGTAAAGTATTTGCCTAAACACAATTTTATCCTGCTCTCTACAGGTTTAATGTCCTTTATGTTCTCTACAAATACACACAGCCACCAGAAAACCCCCCCCCATAAAAATCAGATACATAAAGAAAGAGAGACAGAGGCAGAGACTTCTATAACAACACAATGGATTCCAGCATTGAGTCCTATAAGGAAAGATAAAGGGATTATCCATTTGAACTGATAAAGTCAAGTTCATTCACCTGAGGTTTTAGCTCTAGGCACCACATAGGTGCTACCCTGCTAGGAGTCCTGTTGTCATTAATCCTGACTCTCAGAGAGCAAATGTCATTCAAAGATTTATCTTTGTGTGACAAACTATTTTCTAATTTAGTATGGTCCAGTTTGAAGATGTAATTCATAGGAAAAAATATCCAAAAGTAAAGTGAGTAAACAATAACATGTTGTTTATCTTTTAACTGTGTGTTTGGGAACAGACATTAGGCAAAGCAATTATAAATCATTCTTTTTCTTAAAATGTTTTGAATGGACATTAAATGCTATTAACAGAGTAACCTATCTCCCGCTTTTACATCAATCATATTAACCTTTTTTTTCTGACTACAATACAACTCTTGCAACATAGAAAAAGAAAGGAAAAAATAAATTTCAGCATCCATAGAAATCTAAAAAGAACATTTTATAATATACCTTTCACATTTACCTAAAGTATATAAAAGTATTTTTTTCTGTTTGATTTTACTGTATGTGGTGTTTTATCATCTATTTTTCTCACCAAAGATGTACCATAAATATTTTCTACATCATCAGTTATCCTTCCTATTTTTAATGATGGGATAGTAACACATTGTCTGAATGTACCTGTATTAGTTTCCCATTGTTGCTATAAGAGATGACCAGAAATGACACAAATTTACTGCAATATTGTAGGGTGGAAGTTTTGCTGCATTAAAATTAGGTGTTAGCAGGACTGTTCCTCCCTGGAGGCTCTAAGGCTGCATTTCCTTATCTACTCCAGCTTCTAGAAGCCATCTGCATTCCTCTACGGGTCGCCCCTCCCCTTCATCTTCAAAGCCACAAACATGAGATGTTCAGATCTCTCTGTAACTCTGACCTCTTCTTCCAAAACATTTAAGGATCCTTAGGAGTCCATTGGGCCCACCTGGATAATACAAGATAATCTCTTTAAATTAAAGGTCAGCTAATCAGCAACTGTAATCCCATCAGAAAACTGAATCCCTTAATTTGACATGTAACAGAACATGTCACAGGCTCTCATAATTAGGATGTGGCCATCTCTGGGAGGCCATTATTCCCACTACTGCAGTACCTTGATTGAGTTTCTACTTTTTTTCTTTTAAATACCTCTTTGTACTCCGCTGTGCTTGTCCATTCGTTTATAGCAATGTTTTCCAACCTTTTTTTTTTTTTTTAGTCTCACGGCACACCTAAACCTACAGTTAAACTTCTGTGGCACACTTAAGGAAAAGAATATACTTACTCTGCTTAAAAAATCTTTCATAAATAATTAATGATGTTTAAAAATTCTTATAGCACACTGGTTGCAAAATCACTGATTCATAGGAACAATCAGCAGCACAAATATTTATAAATAACTGTCAGCTGTAGCACCTACACTTTTGTATAAAGGGTATGTTCTTTTGGAAATTATTTTATACATACTTTTCTTAACTCTCATTCAAATTAGATATGATAAATAATTGTGGTAAAAGTGCAGCTAAATCTTTCAAGGGAAATTAAACAGAAATACTCTGGACCCTTTCTTCTACACGGATTTCTTTAGAAGATGCTTTTAACCAAGAAAGTCCCTGAGATATGTTTGAGAAGGGTCCAACTCAAAAGACCAGACAGGGCATCAAGGTCCACAATTTAATTAAATTCTGTAAGCAATGAATCCACATTCATAGAACTTCTAATGGTCATTATCAGCAGTGTTTTATTTACTGCAAATAATGAAAAGTTATATTTAAAGTTAGATGTGATTGAATGGCATGTCTTTTTAAAAGGAGGGTTTGGAAGTAAAAAAAAAAAATCTGTTGAACTTAAATATTCAGTTGAGCTTAAAAATTAAATCGGTCTCATTTCTTTGCTATCACTATTTTTATTTCCATATTGAAACTTCTATTTCCCTTCATTCTATATGTTCTAATGTATGTATTTTTTCCTTTCGAAGGATATAAGCTGAAAGAAGAGAAGATCCAAGGTAATGTCTGGAGATGTTTAGTGCTATGGAGAAAAACACAACTAAACTTAGACTGTAGAGACCAACAGCTGTTACTGAAACTGTGGGCCTGGCACCAGTGCGCCAGCTTCTTCCCTTGGAAGTTTTGGGTTGTCATGTTACCTGTTTACTGGAGAGTAGATTACGTCAGGCTGCCTATGAGAATTGTCTTGTACATATTTAAGTCATTCTTTTTTTTTGAGACAGAGTCTCACTACATCAACCTCAGTAGAGTCCTGTAGCATCACAGCTCACAGCCACCTCAAACTCTAGGGCTTTAGCAATTCTCTTGCCTCAGCCTCCCAAGTAACTGGGACTACAGGTGCCCGCGACAACACCCAGCTCTTTTGGTTGCAGTTGTCATTGTTGTTTAGCAGGCCCAGAGTACTCTCCAATGCCCTAGCCTCGAATGTGCTAGCATCAGTGTATATGGCTGGTGCCCTACTCACTGAACCACGGGCACTGACCCCATGTTTAAGTTGTTATATCACAGCAATAGTCCTAGTGGCCGGGGATTCCACAACAGATTATGTATTCTTAGATTGTTTGCTGTTAAAAGGATTCGAGGCCTGCCATGAACCAAACTTTATGGAACTAAGTGAGTCAATTAACTCATTTTAATTTTCATTCATTTAACCATTATGTATTCCTTATCTATTATGTGCTGGACATTGTGCACTGATGCAGAAAAACTACTATCTCTCTCTCAAAAAAAAAAAAAAAAAAACTATCTCTCTTCCTATGAGTCAGCCTTTAATGGAGGAGAGGACAGAAGAATGAGGACAGAAGAATGACAAAACGATAAGGAATAATTCAACACATAATGATTAAAAGGGGCTGGAGAGGACAGAGGAGAGTACAGGCCCAATCTTGGGGTGAGAGCAGTGGAAGGGGTGGTAAGCTATGCAGAATATCTGGCAAAATTATTGGGTGTCTTTTGAGAAAATAGAAGAGAGAAAATGTGTCAATGAAGGATATTTCAACCCAGGAAACAACAAAATGAGAGGTACAGAGGAGGTGTAGAATAACAAGGTGTGTGCAAGTAACTAAGCAGTTTAGTGCTGCTGAAAGGTCAAGTTTAAGAACAGAAAGACATAACTCAGAGGAATAAAGGAACCAGCTGGTGCTGGGCCTTAGACACCAAGCTTAGGTGCTCGGCTGAGGATGAAGAGGCACTGAGGTATTTTGTTTCAAATTTATTTTTTATTTTAGAGTATTGCAAGGGCACACAGATTTTGGTTACCAGTGTACATTGTACATGTTAAGTTGGTGTTATAAATGTGCCCTTCATCCAGATTGCGTGCATTGTATTCATTAGGTGTGAGTTGGCCCAACCCCTCCTCCCCCACCCT